AATCATCCACTGCAGAAATGGCAAGATATGACCACAGATGATTTGACGGCAAACAAAAAACAAGAAAAATGAAGTCCAGTAGCATTAAGATTATGTATTATTAGTGCTGAGTGAGCCATTGAGCTGCACTGTGTCGATTTAGAGGGATAACTGAATATGGGCACTTTTGAGACAGTTTAGTGAATTTTTACTCTTAACTGTCCTTTACATGAGCATTCAAAAATTTTTGGGTTGTAATGGGCAGTTATATCAGCCAGACATATAAGGTGCAGTAGAATTTCTGCAGAATTTTGCAGGCAAAAATCATTGATTGTAAATTGTCTATAGTGTAGCGGTGTGTGAAGCACAGTTCACGCAGAAGTCACTTTCAAACCAAGCAGCTTTCTGTTGGTTGTAGTGAATTTGCGAAAAGCTTGAACCTCCTGCAAAATCTGCTTGGGGAAATCTTTGGTCCTCACATGAAAATTCATGGTTGTGTCTGGATTCCTGGCTGGATTTCATCTGTAACTACATCTTAATACAGCAGTTGTTTAACTTATATGTTTGACATGAGTAATATTGTGAAATATTATTACAGTTTAAAATAACTGTTTTCAATTTGAATGCTTTACAATGTAATTTATTCTTGTGATGCCAAAGCTGAATTTTCAGCATCATCACTTCACTCTTCAGTGTCACGTGATCCAACAGAAATAATTCTAATGTGATGATATGCTGCTCAAGAAACATTTCTTATTATTTGAGATGTTTGACGTAAACCCTTCCCTGCTTCCCGACTTGTCACGTGGCCGCTCAGCACTAAGTTTTATGCAATAGGAATATCTCTGTTTTTCTACCATTTTGAAGACTTCAGATCACGAGGACCCAGTTAAACAGGTAATACAAAGTTAGCCCTAACAGTCTGAAGTGCTTTGCTAGCAGAGAACGAAAGCAGCGTGTCAGTCCAATAAGACCCAGACCACAGTAACACATTGCCAACTGCCTTCGGGTGACCATAAGAAAAGTTCTTCATAATGAAGGGTTGAATGAAACTAAATATTTTAGGGTTCTTCATTTTCTGTCTCT